ATGTGGGAATCAGCGAAAAGTGTGAATATATTTCGCTAAATCCGCTTAAAAGGGCACGCCTCAACTATATTTAGATAAGCAACTAAGAAATTGTGCTAGTGCGAAAGTGCGTTACGAGAAATAAAGATAAGTGAATGCACCAGGACAGAAGAAGAGTTACCACAACTGTTTAGCAGATAATTAGCCAAAAGATCGACTTCATTTGTCTTTAAGACAAGATGTAGTGTAGCGCTAAGAGTAGCAAGGCATAGTGACGATGCCTGAGAAGCGTCTGGAGTAGACCAAGTCCACGGTCCGACTCTGGTAATTATCAAAAGATACTATGGACTCAGCATAACATGCGTTCCTTCTAAGTCCTCTGATAATACGACAAAGTCTGAAAAACTTACTCACAAACGAAAAAAAATATCAAATTGGCGCTAGCAAATCAGTATAAAATAATTCATCGAACTTTATGCAATCTTTTCTAAAGGTCTTCGTGAATCTAATTATAGCAGTGATGGGGAAAAATAAACTAAGGAAAAATTAAAAACCTATACCGATGCAATCAATAACAGATATAGCATAGCTATTGGCAAAAACTCATCTTATTAGCAGGCTAAGGTTTTACAGCAAGTCTGCACAAGATATAATTATCGGTATAAAGAACCTAACTACCCTAGGTCGCTTAAGGCGATTTAAGGATCGCAATTAGATAAGTAAGCTCCGCAATGCCATTGAAGTGCACTTAACCTTGAGTTTCAAAAGGTTGACTCGTCCAAAAGTTGCAGGATATTGAGTCAAGGACGTCTTTTCAAAATCTAACAGTCTTCACTCATTCAAGCAAATCTTCCCTTGGTTTCCCGATTAAACCAATTCACGAATTCCTTCTAATAAATTTTTCTTTCGAAATTAATAGTTAGAATATCTCATCCAGGCCCTTAAACCATCATAGCCTAACTATAGTCACTAAGTTCTTATGCATGAATCTGCTATTTGAAATTTAATCATCTCAAATGAACCCCTATCTTAGATATTTTCGAGAATGAGGCGAAAGTGTAGCGGAAATGCTTGTTTACTGATGCTCATTACTCACTGGAGATTTAGCTACTCATTGGTTTACACCATATTTCTTACAACTAATCTTCTACATGATTTGTGATATGTTTATTTTTGAATTAATATGGTACAGAAAATCAGTGCATTAGTTCGGTTTTATTATTCCTGAAGGGATTATTCGCTAGTATTGCCGTAAATATTCCTTTTTTCATTCAACTCATTAGAATCCTTGGCATTTTGGTCTACTGGCTAGTAACTCCATCGCTGTCTAACTTGCAATGCTTCATCAACGACTGCATTGAGGAAAGCATCTTGAATAATATTTTAATAATGAAAAAGACCAAACTATAAAGCAGTTTGATTAGTCCTAGCTACTAAGTACGATGGAAAGAAGAAAAAGTAAAGAATGGCTCGGTCAGTAAGAAGAGTTGTCTGAGGTGCTATGGGCATATTTTGGGATAGTGATGATACCTGAATTATTAACTTCCTATAGGTGTCGTGTAAGACGGCTTCATTGGCCAAAGAGCCGGCCAAAAGCTGCCAAACTATTGCGCGAAGAGCATCCGGTACGCCACGATGAATAAGCTTACGCAGACGACGCGTGAACATAACACCCAAAGAACTCAAACAGGGTCCATTCGTCCAGCTAGTAGATGCTGGAGCATGATGAAGCTGCTGCTGTTGTGACTGTTCTTGTGGCTGCTGCTGATGGTGTGGAGCTGGCACTTGTACGGGTTGTGGCAAGGGCGGAAGTTGCGGAGTAGATGATAGTGGCGAAGATGATGGGGGTGATGATGGCGACTGACGGAGGGTCGGCTGGACGTTGACTGAATTGGAGGATGAATACGAGTAGGAAGTGGAATTCGCAAGGGGAGGAGAACTAGTCATCGAATATGCCAAAGAATGGATGCCGCTTCCGTTCCCCCCACCTGCAACCACACTGGCAGTAACAAGGGTGTTGGCGATTACAGCGCTTAGTGATGATAGCGTAGGTGCTAAACCAGTTACCAACACCCCCGGAGTAGTCGTGGTAGTGCTGGAATGTTGTTTGGCTTGCCACTCCGGCAGCAAGCTGCGCCAAGTCTCAATCAGCTCTGCGTCGTCAAACGTTCGGTCAATGCATCCATTACCACTCATCAATGGTTCATCGTCATCGTCACCTTCACCCTCAACATCCTCGTCTTCCCCACAATCCTCTGTTAGCTGGTCGCCATGCTCTAATTTAAGTACAAAATTTGTCTCACTGCTGGCTGCCAACTCAAGCTCTATTTTGTCATCACCTAAAGACAAAAGCAAGTAGTATAGTTAGCATAACTATATTCGGCAATAGCGAAGATGATTATGTTTAAAAATCAAGTAAAATAAAGCTATGGAGACCAAGATGGTGTAACCCCTGGTATGGTCGCAGTCTCCTTTTGATTTAAAGGAGTGGGTTGACTTCGTTGTCACAACTTGGTCTTGTTATCAGGGGGACTTAGTAGAAAGCACCTAGTTCGAAGTCCTGTCATAGTAGTTATCATAACTCCCAGCATCAGACAGTGGATTTGATACATTCTCAAACGTATCAAATCCACTATCTGATGCTGGGAATTATGATAACTACTATGACAGGACCTTGGAATAGGTGCGTTCTACTAAGTCGCCCTGACAACAAGACCAAGTTGCGACAATGAGGTCAACCCACCTCAAGTAAAATAAATCACACACAGAGGCACATTAGAGTTACCTAAACCATCTTCTCATGGGGCACTGAAACAAATTAATTCGTTTTGATGTGATAAAAATTTGGGTAAATTTGGTCGATTAACTAATTGCTTAGCCAATTTGCAGCAAATAAAAGAGCAAACTATAATATGATTATGTTTAAATAACTTATTAGACCTGATTTTCTAGTGCTGCTAATAATGGGCCTGAATAAGTGTACGTCTGCAATGATATCTAAAAGATTAGAGGCAAATATTAGTTTATCGGGGCAATATTCTCCCATTTCATTAATGGCCTAAGTATGCTACATTCCTTATATATTTCGATTATTAATTCGGTCTGGATAGAGCATCATTAAGAAGTACTGACTTAAAAGACAAGATTTTGTTGTCAACCTTAAAAATTTGCAGAGCCAAAGCTAACATGTGAAAATAAGAAAGCCAAACAATGGATTATTTAAAATCAATTTCACTTATTTTAGGATGCAATTTTCCACTTGATTTACACTAGTTCACAACCGCAACCACATCCAACTTATGGAGACCAAGATGGTCTATAGGCTCAATCACACTAAGCTCTGTT